CGAGTCCCACCCACCAAGAAGAGAGGTAGTAGTCAGGTTCTGACAATTAATTTAGATAACTTCTCTCGTAATAGAAGTGATAGAAATACATTAAAAATGCGTATATACGTAAATATATTAAAACAAATCCGACGGACAATATATCCTTTCATTCGTGAGTGATAGACAATATTAGTAATTAAAAGTTTTATTAAGAATAGTGAAAGATATAATTGGCACTAATTTTGTTACGTTCCAGCAAGAAATGAAAATGAAATCGATGTCGAATTGACGAAATCAAGAAATCGATTCCATTATTCCATTATCCTATAAAACTTAATTACTAACGTGGTCTACTATTCGCGAACGAAAAGACGTACTGTCGGTCGGATTTGTTTTAATATATTTATAAGAAACGCATGTACGCATTTTTAATGTGTTTCTATCACTTCCACTACGAGAGAGGTTATCTAAATTAATTGCCAGGGCCTCTATTCTTGAAAAGGATTGCATACCAAAAACTAAGGAAGTGCTATAGTATATGTAACGCATACTATAGTATTTCCTTAGTTTTTCGTATGCGATGCTTTTCGAGAAATAGAGGTACTGGGCCTCTATTCTCGAAAAGAAGCGTATACGAAATTCTAGAAAAATACTATAGTATACGTATATTGTGGTATTTCCCTAGTTTTTCGTAAACGATACTTTTCAAAAATAGGGGCCCTGGAAGTCGATTGTGTATCTTGAAATGAGGTGAAAATTACAAAAGTGAACAAATTCACTAGTTATTGACCAATTAAATCATGAATATTCTAGTGAATTTGTTCACTTTTGTAATTTTCACCTCATTTCGAGTTACACAATCGACCCCCTGAACCTGACTGTCACTTCTCTTCTTCCATTTTGTTACGGCGCACGCGTTGCCCGCATGTATAGAGGGGCACTCCATCTCTCTTAGGCCGGAATCAGACTACGCATTGAAGATTGAGATTGAAGATTGAAGATTGAAATTTAACCAATAAGGACAAAGAAATTTTAGCTCCTTTCGTATCGATTGGTCAAATTTGAATTTTTCAGTTTTCAATCTCAATCTTCAACGCATAGTCAGATTCCGGCTGATTCCGGCCTTAATTCTGCCGACTCAGCATATACCATACTATAGGATGCGCAGTCCATATATTATAGGTTCACGTTTAGGCCCCGACTATACACTACGGCTGCTTTCCTTTTAGGAGACACAGTTGACACAAGTATCTTCTATCTTTCACTGCTTTCCATTTGATGACACAAATCGACACAAGCGTCGTTCTATTCGTCTTGACATTCAGAGAGTGGTAAAGATAGAACGACACTTGTGTGTCGACTGTGTCTCCTAGGCTACGGTCCACTTGAAGTTATAAATGCTTCAAAGCGTTTGTGCGACCAATCAGAACAAAGAATTTTACGAATACTAATCTAATAGCGAATTCGACAGACCGCACTAGTGCGCACTGAGTGTGAACTTTTTCAGTGCCACGCATTCGGCTTGTGCGCACTGTATCAGTGCGTTAAGATTATCGTATTCGGCAAAAAAAAAAACTGACCCAGTGTATTACTGAATTTATATTCGGATCAACCGAATGAACTGAACGAATTCAAAAAATGTTGCACTGACGTTTCTAACAGTGCAATTTGGCATTAAAGTAATTTTAAAGCACTAAAGTAATTCTGCATTCGCACCATGTCAGGGCAGCATTAGGCCGGAATCAGACTACGCATTGAAGATTGAGATCGAAGATTGAAGATTGAAAGTTGACCAATGAGGATAAAGAAATTTTAGTTCCTATTGTTTTATTGGTCAAATTTCAATCTTTCATTCTTCAATCTCAATCTTCAATGCGTAGTCTGATTCTGGCCTTAGAACGTAGTCAGTGCATGTGTGCTGAATTCGCCAAAAGAATGCTTCGAAGCGTTTGCAGCGTCAAGTGGACCGCAGCCCTAAAGGTACCTTTTCATGCCAACGCTCGACGCTCATTTTTGGCGTCAATATAAGTCATGTGATAGAAATTGACGAATATTAAGCATCAATTTTGATCATGTGATCTATTTTGACGCTGAAAATGAGCGTCGAGCGTTGGCATTAAAAGGCATCCTATAAGAAAAGTAGCCTTTGTTACTCTCTGTTAGTCAAGAAGGCTAGAACGATTTGTGGTTTGTCTCGATTTGTATCATCAAGGGTGCGATCGAATTGCCGTTACGAATGCTTCTAAACATTTGATTAACCAATCGGAAAGAAGAATTGTACTAATAGATCAATTAAAAAATGGCTGTGTTCAGCAGACTCAACAGTTTTGCAACCGTTTTATGATTGTCTGTTGAGATAGGACCATTCTTCTAGATCTAAAAGTATGATCCAATCAGCGCGAAGGAAACT